CGTGTTTGCCTCACATAACCCATTGTTGATTGTTTAGTGCTTATCCATATTTATATATATATATTTATTGCTTTTATGTGGCACTGTAGGTTCACAAGATAGTGACAAAGGTATACATTGGGGTTACTGTTATACTCAAAATATGTAGCCGAACACAATATGGGGTTTCATACAGGAGAAGCACATATTAGCTATACACGTTAAAAAAAACATGTTATGTGTGTGTGTGTGTTACTTATCAGAAAAAGAAAGATGGAAATTGCAATTGAACACACACAGAGCAAAAATAGCTTATATCCTTAAATGCAAGACAAGCATCTGAAGCTGTGTCCCTAAGGGGTTAAAGCAGCATCTGCAATCTCCATAGATGCTCATGTTAACTACACACTTTTTCTGTAATTTATTTAGACATGGTGTTCCTGCTATGCTAGACTTTACAGTAATGTCTATGTAATGTGATTCCGTTTCATTCATTCATTTGTATTTTCTTTACTAAACATACTGTTCTGTGTTATAAATACACAATTTGTAGTGTAAGAACAGCTGTTTTCTATTGGCCGTCATTGTTGTCAATGATCCATTTCAGTACACCTATAATTTATTTTAACTGATACATTATATAAATGGAAGTAAGCTTCCATTTAAAGATAACAAAAAGCATCTGTCAGAATCTAAATATAGCATGTTTAACGCTGAAATTAGAGAACTTTTTTCACCTTGTGCTTCCAAAAAAAGAGATGATACTGTTACATTAAAGGACTGCCTCTTGGTCTTATAGGAACGGGGCGGGGAGGGGGCATAACTGCTGCCATAAATGGTAGTTACGGCATGGCAACTGAAAAATATCAGGTTAGCTAGACAGGGGAAATTTTACCAGCCGCCTTGTGGTCACTGCTGTAACTTGGCTGTGCTTTTCCATTTCATCATATTTTTGTCATCATTCTACCATTTGTTTTTTTTGTCCCTAATATTTTGTAGTTTCCTTTACGGCAGATGAAGGCTTCCTTACCAGTGTGGCCCTCAACAATCTACTTTCGGTTGATTATGGAACACAGGTTGATGAATACAGGTTGGGTATTATCTGTTTGTTAGTAAGCAACGCAGCAGCTGGTAGCATGTGTATGACGTTTTGCTACCATGAAATGATGGTAAGGTTTCCCATCTGCCCCGTGTCTAGCTTACCTATTATTTTTGGTACTGTTGTGGCATCAGCCATGTTATCCCCCTTCCTTTAAGATCAAGAGGTAGTTCTTTAATGTGAATACAATAGCATCTCCTTTTTGGTAGCTGCCAATGCACAAATTATCGAGTTGATTGAAAAGAAAACAGCTTTCGGCATGTTTATAAAGTTTTTGCCATCATAAAATGATAAAAAAAGCTGTGGCCATTGCCTTACCCTCTACATATTGGTTGTTGTGTAATTATTTGGGATGGGGTATAGGTGTACATAATTATGGTGAAAGGGTCCGCAGTCATGGTTTACAGCGATATATATATGTATATATATATAGTTTACATTCAGTTGTAGTATATCGCTAGAATAATTACTACTTTTTTTATATTTTATAGTTATCATACTTATGCATAAGTGGTATAGTTATAGAAAACCATCAGATGGTGAAATAACATATTGCCTTAGTTTGACGTTGTACAGGAAATTGTAGTTTCCATCAAACAGTGAACATGTTATATCCAGTGCCTTGCAAAATTATTCAGACTTGCCCTGGATTTTGCACCACACATTCTTCCTTCAGTTCTCACAATATTATCAGGCCCTGCTGATGAAAAATACCCCTACAACACGATGCTGTTACTGCCATACTTTTCTCTAAAGATAGTGTTTGTAGAAGTATGAGCAGTGTTTCCTTTAGCTCCACATATAGCAGTTATATTGTGGTCAGAAAGTTCTATCTTGGTCTCATACAACCACAAAACATGTTCCTATATTTTAGCTGAGTCAGTCTAATGCATTTTTTTTTAAATCAAACTTGAAACATGCTTTTATATGGTTTTGAGTAATAGCTACCCTTTGATATAGGCTAGTTTAATGTTGCCTAGGGCACACTCGTGCAGCCTCAGACACTGACCACGGTAGCTCACTTATTAGACTGGTACCCTCTTCTTGCCTTACCTTATAAGTCTCCTCCTTGCTTGGACACAAGGTTTTTGAAGACTGGACAGCATTTTTTAGGCAGTGTTTGGCCTTTATGATGTACGTAATATTAAAGTTGTGGCTGATCAGTTTATATAATTCTGTGTGTGTGGGTGGGTGTATATGCAGGATCAGCCTTAGGCTTTTACACTGATCAGTCATAACATTAATCCCCCCTCATGCTGCCAAAACAGTTTTCATACGTCGAGGTATGGCCTTCACAAGATCTCTAAACATGTCTTGTGGAATCTTTACAGTGGTCATCTTTGGGACCCTGACTACGCAGCCCTGTACGTGGCAAACTGCGATGCATTGTGTGTTCTGTCATGGCCAGCATTAAGTTATTCAGCATATTGAGTTACAGTAGCTTTTCTGTGTGATCAGACCAGACAGGCTAGCCTCTCTCCCCACATGCATCGATGAGCCTTGGGCACCCATGACCAGTTGCACCGGGGCCCGCATGCTGTTGGGGCCTATAAGGTGGCCCACGCACTTAGGACCACCCGATGGGCCCTATATCTTCAGGCGCCCGGTCAGCGCTGCGGCCGTACAATAGCGCGACCGGGCCCCTTAAAAAAAAATCTCAGCCGCAAAGTACTGCTGGGCAGGAGGGAAGAAAGCCAGGCCACGTGAGCCACGCCGACTCCCATCAGCCACAGCCTTCCACCTGCAAAAAAAGGTAAGCAAAATTAGCTGTATTTGTGTATGTTAGTATGTATCTATGTCTGTATGTATGTCAGAATGTCTGTATGTATGTCAGAATAGAATGTCTGTATATGTGTGTGTGTAAGTCAGTATGTGTATGTATGCATGTCTGTCTGTGTGTATGTATTTCAATATGTATGTATATGTCTGTGTCTGTCTGTTTATATATGTATGTCAGTATGTATGTGTGTGTGTGTGTATTTATATTCTTATGAGTGTGTGTGCAGTGTGCATAGGAATTTGTTCATATTGTTTATTGTCCGGCCCCCAAAAGTGTCTGAGGGACCATGAACTGGCCCCTTGCTTAAAAAGTTTGAGGACCCCTGTCATTATGGATGTATGTCCATAGGCGTGCGCACGGGGTGTGCCGGATGTGCCTGGGCACACCCTAATCCCCGTGGCACGCCTATGGTTTGAGTCCTGCAGGAACAGCTGTTCCTGCAGGCACTCAGCGCCCCCTGTTTCACCTCTTGCCCCTGTCATGGGGGGGCAAGAGGTGATGGATCTCCCCCTCTCTGCAGCTCAGCCGCGGCGAGGGAGCTGTATGCTGTCTGCTCTCTCTCGCCGCACGCTGATGCCGGGAGCAAATATGACGTCATATTCCGGCTCCCAGCTACAGCAGACAGCCCGGGCGGCGAGAGAGAGCAGAGAGCAGACAGCACACAGCTCCCTCGCCGCGGCTGAGCTGCAGAGAGGCGCCCGCCCGACTGGACCCCAGGGAAAAGTCCACGCCAGCACTCCAGGTAGGAGGCTGGGTGGACATTTTTTTTTAATTAAAATGTAATAATTTGTTTGTGTGTGTGTGTGTGTGTGTGTGTGTCTGTGTGTCTGTGTGTGTCTGTGTGTGTGTGTGTGTGTCTGTGAGTGTGTGTGTGTGTGAGTGTCTGTGTGTGTCTGTGTGTGTCTGTGTGAGTGTGTGTCTGAGTGTCTGTGAGTGTATGTGTGTGTCTGTGTGAGTGTGTGTCTGTGAATGTGTGTGTGTGTGTCTGTGAGTGTATGTATGTATGTGTGTGAGTGTGTCAGTGAGTGAGTGTGTGTCTGTGAATGTGTGTCTGTGTGTGTGTGGAGTGTGTGTCTGTGGAGTGTGTGTGTGTCTGGAGTGTCTGTGTGTGTGTGTGTGTGTGTGTGTGAGTGTCTGTGTGTGTGTGTGTGTGTGTGTGTGTGTGTGTGTGTGTGTGTGTGTGTGTGTCTGTGTGTGTGTGTGTCTGTGAGTGTGTCTGTGTGTGTGTCTGTGAGTCTGTGTGTGTGTGTCTGTGAGTGTGTGTCTGTGTGAGTGTGTGTGTGTGTCTGTGAATGTGTGTGTGTGTGTGTGTGTGTCTGTGAGTGTATGTATGTATGTGTGAGTGTGTGTCTGAGTGTGTGTGTCTGTGAGTGTATGTGTGTCTGTGTGAGTGTGTGTGTGTCTGTGTGAGTGTGTGTCTGTGAATGTGTGTGTGTGTGTGTGTCTGTGAGTGTATGTATGTGTGTGTGTGAGTGTGTCTGTGAGTGTGTGTGTGTACGCATATATATATATATATATATATATACACACACACGCACACACACACACATTCACACACAGAGCCAGCGCTATCTGAGTGCCGGCTCTGCTCTAAGCCTCCATGGGCCGGCGGGGAAACCAAAGATCTACCTAACTGGCCCACAGCAGCATGGAGGGAGGCAGGAGAGGACCCAGGGAGCTCTAGACAGAAGCTCCGCCAGGTTCCTCTCGCAATATCTGAGTGTTGCTGCGGCAACGCTCAGATCTCACGAGAGTTAACTCTAGCCCCGCAGGCTAGAGTTCACTCTCCACTGGACCACCAGGGATGGCACATGGCAGCAAGGATTTACTAATCTGCCAAATCCCTCCAAACATACAGCACACACACATACAGCACCTACACACATACAGCTCACACACACAGAGTACACTAACCGCACCCTCACAAACACACACAGCACCTTTAAAAAAAACACACACAAACAGCACCCTCACAAATACATGACACTCACACAAACAGCACCCTCACAGGACAAACATACACACACATCACACCCTCACACACAAACAGCACAGTCACAAACACACACACACAAACACCCTCACATCACACTAACAGCACCCTCACACACACATCACACTAACAGCACACAACACACTAACAGCACACACAGCAGTGTATGTGTGTGTGTGTATATATATATCTATATTTATATATATATACATACATATATATATATATATATATATATAGATATATACACACACACACACACACACGGCGTGTGTTTGTGCTTTAGGGTGCACACCCTAATGCAATAGGCTGCGCACGCCTATGTGTATGTCATTAAGAATGTATGGATGTCAGTATGAATGTATGTCTGCATGTCATTATGAACGTATGTCTGTGTGTATGGATGTCAGTATATATGTCAGTATGTCTGTATATATGCCATTATGAATGTATGTATGTATGTATGGATGTTTGTCAGTATATATATATATATATACATACACACATATACCAGTATGAATGAATGTATGTCTGTGTGTATGTATGTGTATGTCCACATGCATGTGTGTCTGTATGTATGTGTCTATCTGTCACTATGTATGCCTGTGTGTCTGTATACGTGCGTATGTCTCATTATGTGTGTCAGTACATATGCCTATATGCTTGTATGTCTGTTTCAGTATGTGTGTCTGTTAGTATGTATCTTTTTGTGTGTGTGTGTGTATCTGTGTCCTTTTGTATCAGTGTGTGTTTTTGTGTCTGTGTATTCCTGTGGGCGGGATTTGGAGGCGGACCCTGTGGGCAGGATAGGAGGCGGGCCCCAGGGGGGCCAGACCCTGAGCTGAGTTAGGGCCCCCAAAATTTATGGTGGCGGCCCTGCCCATGACCCTGATGCTGATTCACAATTTGTCCTTTCTTGCATCATTTTTGGTAGGTACTAACCACTGCATACCAGGAACACCCCACAAGACTTGCCATTTTGGAGATGCTCTGACCCGGTAGTCTAGTCGTCACTATTTGGCCGTTGTAGAAGTCACTCAGATCTTTTCGCTTGCCTATTTTTCCTAACACTTGAAATTCAAGAACTGAGTATTCACTTACTGCCTAATATACCCTACCCCTTGACATGTGCCATTGTAATGATTTAATCAGTTAATCACTTCGGCTGTCAGTGGTTTTACATTGTGACTGATCAGTGTAGGCATCCTGTGCAAAAAAAACACATCCACTAACCCAAAAAACTTCCTACCACGCAGGGCGGGTGCAAGGATTTTTGCCACCCTAGGCAAACAAAAACGTTCTGCCCCCCATATGATATCACAATGCCCACCCATATGATCTGCCATATGGGCCAATGCCAGTTCTGCACAAAGTGTCTTTTGTCTGAAAAGGCCGCGTGTTTACATTAAAAAGCCTGCAGACAGGCTATAGACACCAGAACCACTACATTAAGCTGTAGGGCCAGCGCTTCCTATAAGGCAAACTAGGCAGCCGCCTAGGGCACCATATAGGAGGAGCGCCCTGTGCCCCCATCACCGGCCCATTAAATGCTGCAGCCGCCTCAGGCTTCCCCCCTTCCATGTAGCGTGGCCGAGTTCCTCTCCGGTCCGCGTCCCGGCCGGACTGATAAGAAGTGCACACTCAGTGTGCACTTCCTGTCAGTCCGGCCGGGTACAGGAAACAGAAACTCCTGTACCACGGACCGGAGAGGAGAGAGGCCACGCTACAGGGGAGGTGAGGAGAACACAGGGAGGGAGGGAGGGGAGGAGTAAGAAGAAGAGGGAGGATGGGGAGTAAGAAGAAGAGGGTGGAGGGGGGAGTAAGAAGAAGAAGAAAACAGGGGAGGGAGGAGGTGAGAGTAAGAAAAAGAGGGGAGATGGGAGTAAGAAGAAGAGGGGGTAAGAAGAAGAGGGGAGGGGGGAGTAAAAAGAAGAGGGGAAGTGGGGGAGTAAGAAAAAGAGGGGAGGGGGAGTAAGAAGAAGACAGAGAGGAGGGTGGGGAGTAAGAAGAACACAGGGAGGTGGTGAGGAGAAGGGGAGATGAGTAGAACACGGGGAGAGGGAGGTGAGGAGAACACAGGGAGGGGGAGAGTGAGAAGAACAGAGGAGGGAGAGTGAGGAGAACAGAGGGGGGAGAGTGAGGAGAACATAGGGGGAGAGTGAGGAGAACATAGGGGGAGAGTGAGGAGAACATAGGGGGAGGTGAGAAGAACACGGGGAGGGGCAGAGTGAGAAGAACACGGGGAGGGGGCGAGTGAGAAGAACACGGGAGAGGGGGTGAGGAGAAGGGAAGGTGAGGAGAACACAGGGAGGGGGAGGTGAGGAGAATACAGGGAGGGTGGGTGGGTGTGAGAAGAGACTGCTAGGGGAGGGTGGGGGGGGCAGAGGAGAGACCAGGGGCAGACTGAGAACCCTCAGGGACCCCGGGCAAAATAAATCAAAGGCCCTTTTACAGGCCCCACCCATACTCCGCAGCAAGCGCCACCCTTGTCCCGCCTCCACGCACCACCTCCAGCCCCACCCTACACAATCTTTAGACACAAGGAACAAAAGTGTAATAATCCCTTTGAGTCCCCAGTAGAGACTACAATTGAGGGCTAATGGGCCATGGAGGGGGGTCTTTCTAGCAGAGGCTATCTCAGTGTCCTTTAGAGAGTGTGTTAGAAAGAATCCCCTCCAGGCCCCATTAGAGACTACAATGGAGTCTAATAGGCTTGGAAGGGGGTCTTTCTAACAGAGGCCATCTCAGCATCCATTAGATAGCCCCTGCTGGAAACAGTTGCCTCCAGCCCCAGTAGAGACTACAATTGAGGGCTAATTGGCATTGAAGGGGGGGGTCATTCTAGCAGAGGCTATCTTAGTGTCCTTTAGAGAGTGTGTTAGAAAGAATCTCCTCCAGGCCCCATTAGAAACTACAATGGAGTCTAATAGGGCCTGGAGGGGGGTCTCTCCAACACTCTGGTTCCTATTCACAATATAGCAACACAACATAGCTCGCTGATACCTAGGCCAAGTTGGCTCCTCTTACCTTAATTACTGTTGCTGGCTGGCAGTCTGTGGGCTTGCTGGCTGCGGCCGGCAGGCTGTGGGCTTGCTGGCTTGCCGGCAGGCTGTGGCTTGCTGGCTGCCTGGCAGGCTGTGGGCTTGCTGGCTGTAAGCCTGTGGCTTGCTGTAGGCCTGTGGGCTGGCTACTGGCCTGGCTGGCCTGTGGGCTGGCTAACTGGTGGCTTGTGGGCTGGCTGGCTACTGGCCAGCCTGTGGGTTGGCTGGCTGGCCGGCCTGTGGGTTGGCTGTCTGGCTGGCCGGCCTGTGGGTTGGCTGGCTGGCCGGTGGGCTGGCTGGCTTGCTGGCTACTGGGGCACTTGTAGATTATTTAAAGAAATAATCCATGCACAATAACCACTACTGCTCTGTGTAGTGGTTATGGTGCCAGGAGGGCCAGGCCCCCCTCCCAGAGTAAGTAGTCAAACCGTTTAAGAACAGTTTGACAACTTACCTGGGGTCTGCTGGGATATGGGGCTGTAGTAGGGTATTGGAGCAGTGGGGCAATGTGTGAGGGGTGCAGTGTGTGTGAAAGGTTCAGTGTGTGTGTGGATGTGTAGGGTGTGTGGGGCAATGTGTGTATGATGGGGCTGTGTATGTGTGTGGCAATGTTAGTATGGGGGGCTGTGTGTATATGGGTGGGCAGTGTATGTGTGTGTGTGTGAGGCAATGTGTGTAATTGTGTATGGTGTATGTGGAGGCAGTGTGTGTGTATGGGGGCAGTGTGTGAATGTGTATGGTGTGTGTGTGGGGGCAGTGTGTGAATGTGTATGGTGTGTGTGTGGGGGCCGTGTGTTTATGGGGCTAGAGTTCACTCTCACAACTGCGACCACCAGGAATCCCTGGTGGTCACAGAATTGAGAGTGAACTCTAGCCTGTAGCTCCAGAGCTAGAGTTGACTCTCGCAAGAGCCGTAACGTTGCCGTGGTAACCACGGCAACTCTCTGTGCTCTCGCAAGAAGGACCCACAGGAGCTGCAGGCTGAGCTCCAGGGTCCTCTCTTCCTCCCTCCCCTGCTGGCTGCCCGCACTGTGCCTGCTGAGAGGGGAGGGTGGGCCATTGCCCCATTGACCCCCTGGATCCACCAGTGATATATACATCCCTTCTGTGTGCCTTTTTGTCTCCCCCCAGGCCCTCTGTATGTTTCTTTCTCCCCCTCACTGCTCCTGTGTCTATGTCTCCCCTCTCCTTCCCAGTCTCTCTTACCCCTCTGCCTCTCTCTCCCCCTCCCCTTGTGTGTCTCTCTCCTTTCTCCCTGTGTCTCTCTCTTCCACTGTTTATTTCTCCCCCCTTTCCCTGTGTCTCTCTCTCCCCCACATCTATCTTCCTCTGTGTGTCTTTCTCCCCCCTCCCCCATCTCTCTATTCCCCCTCTTTCTCCCCCTGTGTCTCATTCTTCCCTCTCTGTCTCTTTCTCCCGCCTCCCCCATCTCTCTATTCCCCCTCTTTCTCCCCTTGTGTCTCAAGTCAGAGGGGGCCGGCCGCATTCCACGCTGGAGCCACCGGGCCGGGTGGCAGCCTCGCCGGTCCGGCGGCACTCCTGTCCTGTCACTAACGCTGAGGACAGAAGGAGGGAGGAGCATGTTTCTCTCTCATGCTCCTTTGCGGTTCCCACATCCTGTGCTTGGAATTGTGGGAACCGCAAAGGAGCATGAGAGAGAGACATCGTTTCAGCCTTGTTAGGCATAGCTGATATCTCCCTAGGCACCGTGAGCAAGGGGTCCACATCTGGATTATCCCTTTAAACTTGTGGAGAGCAAAAAAATGGGTTGCAAGAGTATACTGAGAAAGGGCAGCAGCTGAAATAGCCTGCCCTTCGGTGGGTACCCGCTCAGATCTTAAGCTGGTTTTTGCTCATCTTGTGCCATTACATAGAGAACATCTCTGAAACATATCAGACTGGTCTCACCCATACGGGCTGTCCAGATCCGAAATGCCAGCAAGTTCTCTCTGAGCAAGAGACACAGCAACTCAAGACGATCGTTTCAGCCTTGTTAGGCATCATCAGTGAGGCATAGCTGATATCTCCCTAGGCACCGTGAGCAAGGGGTCCACGTCTGGATTATCCCTTTAAACTTGTGGAGAGCAAAAAATGGGTTGCAAGAGTATGGCGACATCCAGCATCATGTAAAACCCCATAGGAAATACAAATGAGAGCGCAGCGAGGGGCCATCTCCCAGCCACAAGCTGTCTCCCTCTGCTATGTGTGAAATTGTACACCCAGATCTTCCAAGACAG